AGAGCTGAAATCCATGCACTGACTCTCCTCACTCTACCGTGACCCCAATGGCCTGTTGTAGCAGAGATTGCAGGGTTCTAAGCGGGTGCCAGATTCCTGCCGAAGGCTCCTGAGCCATGGCAATCATGGGAGGCTCAACAACCTTCGGTGGCCTTGGAGGAGGAGGATCTAATCCTACCATGATAGAGGGTGTTAGGGTGGTCCTAATTCTTTTCTCTTTGTTCTTAAACATTTCCTTCTTCACAGCCTCTAACTCTGCCCTTAATTGCTTAATTTCCCGGTGATCAGGCAAAGCAATTCGAGGTGGACACTTCTCCTGATCATACTCAACCGTCTCCTCTCCTAGGGCAGACTCATCCTCAGGGTCAAGAGATCCCTCTTCTAGCCCCAGATGGGGGTCCTCATAAAAGGGTGGCAAGGCTCATGGAGCTGGCTCTGGTGGAGCGGAAGTTTTGGTTTCACTTTTATCCCAGCTGTGGCTTATCGGATTCTCCTCTTTAGTCTCAGCCTTTGCTCCTCGGGCCCCAAGCATATTCCTTACAAAAACTGAGCGACTGTTTCCTTGCCCCATCTCCTCCCAAGATAAATACTCACTGCTCCCCAATCTTACCAAGTGCATTCACTTAACTTCTCCAGCAGTGTCCTTCACTTTTTCCCCTACTTTTCAGGTCCCTGTTCGGGCGCCACTTGCCGGTGCCAGCCAGCCAAGACGGACAGTACCTGAAAGGGGGAGTGAGGATTGAAAGAAAAAACAAGAGACAGAAAAGATACTTGGGAGGACTGTGAGTAGAGACTGAAGCCCTGGTTTATTTTAGCTCCGCCTTTTTATACAGAAGAACATCAGAAATTAACATCAATTAATTTCAACAGCTGTTTTTCCCACTTGTATCTGAGGGTCAAGGAGCGGTCAAATACTTGTTGTGAGTTCCACCATATAAACACATTCCTCCTGACTTGGCAGATTAGGTACTGGTGGGCAAAACACAAACTCTAAGTATAAACAAGCAAGCCTGCCACAGCTCAATGTACATAATGGAGTAATAGCTCCCAACACAGGACCTGTCAGGCATCACAGCATCTGCCCTCACCTGATGTCTCCATCGCCACTCAACAGGGGAGACCATTTCTTCCCACTGAGGATGCATAACGAGGGAAAGTATGTATATAAACATCTTTCTCAGAATGAAGACCAAAGGCCCTCCCAGGTTTTGCAAAGCCTTGCAGTCTGTCTCCTCCACACCCAGCTTCCTGGCCTGCCTCTCACATCTCTCTATTGCCTCATTCTCTTTAGTCCACCAGTCTTTTCCAACAAGCAAATTTCTGTCTCAGAACCTCTGCACCTACCTTTTCCTGGAACAGTCCTCCCCTCATACATGTAAGGTTTCTTCCTCCCTTGTTCATCTCAGATCCAAATTCCCTTAGAAGAGAGTCCTTTCTGACCATCTGTTATGAACTCAAGAACTCTGCTCAAAGTGTAATTTCCATCTCTCTTAACACTGCTTTATGGGTCTCTATAACTGATATTTCCAATTGCTATACTGTGAATGTCTCCTTTTTATATTACCCCTCCCATTAGGATGTAACCCTATGATATTATGGTTTAAATGTAAAACATCCCACCATAAGCCCATATGTGTGAACACTTGGTTCCCAGCTGGAGGTGCTGTTCTAGGAAGTTGTGGCACTTTATGATGTATGGTTTCACTGGAGGAAATGGGTTACTTGGGGCAGGGCTTATGGGTTGTAGCTTCCCTAGGGTCTACCCAAGTTTCTCAGCTCCTTGATTACCAAGATATAAACAAGCAGCCTCATGCTCTGGCTGCTGCAGCCACAAACTGCCATAAACCTTCCCAATCATGATAGACTGTACCCTACAAGCTATGCACCGAAACATTCTCTCTCTGTCTCTCCCTCCCCCTCACTCTCTTTTTGAGACAGGGTCTCCCTGTAGCCCCAGCTGTCCTGGAACTCACTAGGTAGACCTGGCTGGCTTCAAACCCACAGAAATCTGCCTGCCTCTGCCTCCAGAGTGCTGGGATTAAAGGCGTGTGCCACCACACCTGGC